TGTGCCGCAGCCTGGCCGCTCTGTCACGCAATGTCCCCGCTGTCCCCTCGCTGTCGCTGGCGCTGTTCGAGCGCCTCGGGGACAGCCTGGCGCGCCTCGGGCTCTTCCAGAGGGCGGCGGAGTTCTACCAGAAGCAGGTGCAGAGTTTGGGATTTCGGGAATTTTCGGGAATTTGGGGGAGTTTGGGAATTGTGGGCGTTGCTCGGGGGTTTGGGGGGTTTTGCCTGATTTTTTTTCTGGGTTTTTGGGATTTTTTTCCTGATTTTTTCCCTGATTTTTGAGGATTTTTTTCCCTGATTTTTGAGGATTTTTTTCCCTGATTTTTGAGGATTTTTTTCCCTGATTTTTGAGGATTTTTTTCCCCAATTTTTCGTGATTTTTGCAGAATTTTTTCCCAATTTTTTCCTGATTTTTGGGGATTTTTTCCTATTTTTCCTGATTTTTGAGGATTTCTTCCCTGATTTTTTCCTGATTTTCCCCCCATTTTTCCTGATTTTTGAGGATTTTTTCCCTGATTTTTGCAGATTTTTTTCCCCAATTTTTCGTGATTTTTGCAGAATTTTTTCCCAATTTTTTCCTGATTTTTGGGGATTTTTTCCTATTTTTCCTGATTTTTGAGGATTTCTTCCCTGATTTTTTCCTGATTTTCCCCCCATTTTTCCTGATTTTTGAGGATTTTTCCCCTGATTTTTTCCTGATTTTTGAGAATTTTTTTTCCTGATTTTTGAGGAATTTTTTCCTGATTTTTGCTGATTTTTTTCCCCCAATCTTTCATGGATTTTTTCCTGATTTTTGAGGATTTTTTTCCTGATTTTTGAGGAATTTTTTCCTGATTTTTGCTGATTTTTTTCCCCCAATCTTTCATGGATTTTTTCCTGATTTTTGAGGATTTTTTTCCTGATTTTTGAGGAATTTTTTCCTGATTTTTGCTGATTTTTTTCCTGATTTTTTTCCCGATCATTCGTGGTTTTTTTCCTGATTTTTGAGGATTTCTTCCCCATTTTTTCCTGATTTTTGAGGATTTTTCCCCTGATTTTTTCCTGATTTTTGAGAATTTTTTTTCCTGATTTTTGAGGAATTTTTTCCTGATTTTTGCTGATTTTTTTCTTGATTTTTTTCCCCAACAGGATTTTTTTCCCTGATTTTTCAGGATTTTTGCCTTGATTTTTTCCCTATTTTTTTCCTGATTTTTGAGGATTTTTTCCTGATTTTTGAGGATTTTCCCCCCATTTTTTTTCCTGATTTTTGAGGATTTTACCCTGGTTTTTCCCTGATTTTTTAGGGTTTTTTCCTGATTTTTCAGGATTTTTGTCCTGATTTTTCAGGATTTTTTGCCTTGATTTTTCCCCTGCTTTTTTCCTGATTTTTGAGGAATTTTTTCCCATTTTTTTCTGATTTTTGAGGAATTTTTTTCCCATTTTTTCCTGATTTTTGAGGAATTTTTTCCCATTTTTTTCCTGATTTTTGAGGATTTTTTCCTGATCTTTAGTGGATTTTTTCCCGATTTTTTCCCTGATTTTTGAGGATTTTTTCCCATTTTTTCCTGATCTTTAGTGGGTTTTTTCCTGATTTTTTTCCTGATTTTTTTCCTGATTTTTTCTTGATTTTTGGGGATTTTTTTCCCTGATTTTTGAGGAATTTTTTTTTGAGGATTTTTTTCCTGATTTTTGGGGATTTTTTTCCCATTTATTCCTGATTTTCGAGGATTTTTTTTCTCATTTTTGAGGATTTTTTTTTCCTGATTTTTCAGGAATTTTTTCCTGATTTTTGAGGATATTTTTTCCTGTTTTTTTCCTGATTTTTTCTTGATTTTTGGGGATTTTTTCCTGATCTTTCGTGGATTTTTCCCTGATTTTTGGGGATTTTTTCCCCCACTTTGTCCTGATTTTCGGGGATTTTTTTCCCGATTTTTCCCTGATTTTCGGGGATTTTCTCCCCAATTTTCCCCGACCTTTCCAGGATTTTTCCCTGTTTTTTTCCTGATCTTTTCTTGATTTTTGGGGATTTTTTCCTGATCTTTCGTGGATTTTTTCCTGATCTTTCATGGATTTTTTCCTGATTTTCGGGGATTTTTTTCCCGATTATTTCCTGATTTTCAGGGATTTTTTTCCCGATTTTTCCCTGATTTTCAGGGATTTTTTTCCCGATTTTTTCCTGATTTTCGGGGATTTTTTTCCCGATTTTTCCCTGATTTTCAGGGATTTTTTTCCCGATTTTTCCCTGATTTTCAGGGATTTTTTTCCCGATTTTTCCCTGATTTTCAGGGATTTTTTTCCCGATTTTTCCCTGATTTTCAGGGATTTTTTTCCCGTGATTTTCGGGGATTTTTTCCCCGACCTTTCCATGATTTTTCCCTGTTTTTTTGAGCACTCCCCCATTCCCCGTGCCCATCCCCCTCCATTCCTCAATTCCCAATTTCCCAGCTGGCGGCGGCCGAGGCGCTGGGGCTGCCGGGCCGGGAGCTGGCCGTGATCCACGTGTCCCTGGGCACCACCTTCCGCGACCTGGGCCAGCATTCCCGGGCCCTGCAGCACTTCCAGAGGGAGCTGGAGCTCAGGAGAGGAGAGCCGCTGGAGGTGGGAGCGCTCCTAAACCCCCTAGGCCTGATCCCAAATCCCCTAATCCCAAATCCTGATCCCTGATCCCAAATTCCTGATTCCTGATGCCGTTCCCACATTCCCGGGCCCTGCCGCACTTCCAGAGGGAGCTGGAGCTCCGCCACAGGGAGCCCCTGGAGGTGGGAGCGCTCCTAAACCCCCTAGGCGCGGTTCTAAACCCCCTAATCCTGATCCTGAACCCCCTAATCCCAAATCCTGATCCCAAATTCCTGATTCCTGATCCCGTTCCCACATTCCCGGGCCCTGCAGCACTTCCAGAGGGAGCTGGAGCTCAGGAACGGGGAGCCCCTGGAGGTGGGAGCGCTCCTAAACCCCCTAGGCCCCATCCTGAACCCCCTAGGCCTGATCCTAAACCCCCTAATCCTGACCTAAATCCCCTAATCCTGACCGAAATCCCCTAATCCTGATCCCAAATCCCCTAATCCCAAATTCCTGCTCCTAAATCCCCTAATTCCTGGTTCCAAATCCCAAATTCCCCTTCCTAAATCCCCAAATTGCACTCCTAAATCCCCTAATCCCTTCTCAGGAGTGCCGCACGTGGCTGAACGTGGCGCTGGCGCTGGAGGATTTGGGCTCGGCCCTAATCCCAAAATCAATCCCAAATCCCTGATCCTAAATCTCCAAACCCCAAACCCCTGATCCTAAATCCCC